GGAAAAAATGAAATCGCATCATATGACCCCTTTAAGACCTTTTAAAAGGATAATTAACATTTTCTTACACCATTTAAGACAATCAAATTTAAACTTAAAACGATCAAACTGAATTTAATACTTTTTAAGAACCTGCAGGGACCCTGATTTTCAGAGCTCGGCAATGTCTGTCCGCATTCATGTTCATTCTATGGAACATGATTTGCTTTATACATCTTTGCTGGAACATGACATGGATTTTGGAACGACTTGAGGGTGTGTAAATGATGACAGGATTTTCATTTTTGGTTAACCTATTCCTTAAATTTTAGCAAGTATCCATTTTTCATACACCAACACTAGGCAAATGTAACAACAGCTCAACATACCTCTAGAATGTCATTGAACTTAGCCTTGAGCTCAAAGTAAGACTTGGACTTGACGATGGCTCTCTTCAGTGACTTCTGCAGCTCCTGCACGCGGGCTTCGGCCTCCTGACACAGCTGGGTGGCATGCATGTGCTCCCGTTCACTCTTCATGCGCTCCTCCTCTGCCTCGTTCACCTGCACAGTTTCAAATCACTTATGACATACTTAGAGCAATGCTGTGTGTGTGTGTGTGCAAAATATACTCTGTGTGGATACATAAACAGAAAAATTATTCTGAACTGTACTTTTCCTCGTTGTACTTGCACATTCTATGGGTCAAATGAGGGGTTAATGGTGCATTCATTACATGTTTTCATGTACATAAAGGTTAAACAGGCTTTTGGTTGTGCAGTATATAAATACTGTATTATATATATATTGTTCAGCAGTTTGGGGTCAATAAGATTTATTTTTAGAAAGAAATTAATACATTTATTTAGCAAGGATACATTAAATACTGTCAAAAGATTTATATTTAAAATAAATGCTGTTCATTTGAACACAAAAATATTAAGAAAATCAGCATATTAGAATTGTTCATTTAGAACCAGTTATTTTAAATTGTAAAATCTTTCACAATTTAACTGTTTTTACTGTACCATGGTGAGCATAAGAGACTTCTTTATAAAAAATACAAATAAAAATAAAAACTTCTGCATGATTCAGTCATGTAACGAAGGTCCAAGAAAACATGCTCAAGGTTCAAAGTCAGAGATATTTAACTGCTTGATACAACTTGATAAGATATGCTGGAGAGAAAATTGGCAAACCTTTGAGGTAGCATGATTCAACATCTCTTGCCAGGTTGGATCCAGCGTCTTGACTGCAGTGAGGCCCTGTTCAGCCACGTGGACCATCTCTCGAGCAGCCAAGTGCATGGACACCGCTCTCTCAAAGCTGAGCGCTGCTGTCTGGGTCTCCTGCTGGGCCTAAGATGGATGAAACTAATCATAATGCGTTTAAGAGACAATAGGATTTCATCAGGTGAAGGTTGTGATAGTTGCCTTAGAAAAACTGGCAAAAATACAATATGATGTTTTGGCATAAAACACAACTAAATAACGCTTTTACCTGTTTAAATTAATTATAATAATAGTTATAAATTATGACTGTTTTTCTCAGTGCTAAACTAGAGTGTCTGTCCACCTCTTTTGCTTTTCTTCGTGCCTCATAGTAAGGCCTGGCCTTCTCGATGCAGGACCCCAGTTCTGAACTTTTCGTCTTGAGTTTAAGCACAGATTCACTCATCATCCTCCTATGGCTGGACCGAACCTCCTGACAACAAAAACAAAGTTTTTCACAAATCACACAAACCATTCACAACAAGTTCATAATAATAAAATAAAGTGTGTAAATCAGGAGTGTTAATCTTGTTTGCCATCTAAGAAAGAGAGAATCATATAAGCCTTATCTTATCTGCATAATATGGCATAGTGGTAAGGTTATTATAGTTAACTAAAACTAATTTAATTCATCTTGATGTGCTAAAACTAAAATCAAAATCAAAATTATATAAACATTAAAATATAACTAATTACATTACAACAAATAACATTAAAAATACTCAAAACTTTAAAATCTCTTAATGATGATATATAACATAAGGTGTGGTTGCCTAATTCAATTATTGAGCTGGGCTGGTAGCAGAAAGATGGCAGGTTTGATTCAAAGTACAGTCTACCTGTCTGAGATTATAGTCCTGTACTCTGAATTAAAAGTGTCTATTAAATGACAATGAGCCATAATAATAAGTATATAGTATATACTTAAAAGCATGTAGCCTAACAGTCCCAAATGTCCTTGAGGTTGGGAACAATTTTTCCAAAAGCATTCTGAACTTTCACGTACTTGCAGTTCCAGTTCCATCTTGTTGATCTCCTCACTGGCCTCATTCAGACGCTCCAGTTCCTCCTAGATACAGAAACACAGCAGGTCATAGTCGCCTAATGGTAAATGATCTTGGCTGCTGGCTTAAAAGTTGCTGGTTCAATCCAAAATAAGGGTGACCCAGAAACTGTAGAGTTACTGAGATTACAATAAATTCCATGAAAATACCTTTGGTGAATCTTTATAATAACTAACATTATTATCAGTTATTATATAATATTAATGTCCAAAATGCACAGATGCAGAATCTAGGCAAAGGATGGTGACTTCAAAGAACATAAAATATATTTTAGATTCTTCAAAGAAAACATAATGTATGATTCTGATGGCGTAATAATAAATGAAAATAGTAATAGATAAAACATGTAAAGAATAGTAAAGAATAAACATGTTTGACCATTTTTTATTTATATTGCACATACAAATAGTTAGAAAAGTCAATGTTGATTCACATACACATTCATAACTGAATGTCCATGAACTACAAAGCTGTTAAGCATTCAAAAATATTTGTTAATCATTTTTTAAATAGGCTTTGATAAATAGTCTGCTATTGGGGGGCTTGATTTTTTATATCAAAATAGTTTAAAATATTAATAAATCACTACAACAGTGTTGTATGAGATCTTACTACAATGTGCTGACTAAGTGTCAGTTTACCTGGATTCTAGGATCTAATTCCTCCTCCGTCAGTTTTCCATGCAGTGAGTTTTCATCTTGACATTTAGTTCTCTCAGAGTCTTTACTCTCCATCTCCGTCTCCTCGGATTCCCCATCAGCTTCTCTGCTATCATCTGTCACCTCCTCCGGCTGATTTCCTCCTCT